TTTTATAATAAATTTTATATAAAAATTTTTAATTTTAATTTACTTGAAATTGAAGTCTTAAATTTTATTTTTTTTTTAATTTATTTTTTTATGTAAAATTATCTTTTATTTGATTGTATTATTTGTTCTGAGATTTAATGTATACATTAAATCTATTTTAAATTTTAATTTTAAATTTTAAAAATATTTAAAATGTTTAGTTAGGTGTAAAAGATAATAAAATTCAAAAATTAGTAATTTAGCCCTCCAAAAGATAGTAGTTTTCCTAGATGGCACTGTTGATAATATAAAAAATTTATATTATTTATGAAATAAATTGAACTTTTTAATCTAATAAAACAGCCCTTTAATTATTTGATATATTGATATTTTACAAAAATGTTTATAAATAACTATTTCTTTGCACAAGATACATATAATAAATAAATGTGTTTAAGTGACAGTGTATGTCAGTCATGTTGTTTGTTTTAAAATTGATTTTTTGACTAAACTATGAAGAATTGAAACTTATAGTGCAGTGATTATTACTTTTAAAATATCTTTTTTTAAATGTATGTGTATTTTATATAAATTTTAAATGTTTATTTATTTGTCTTGCAAATAATTATTCAATATTAATAATTTTAAATTTCTAAAAAAAATATCTTCTCTTTGAAATATAGCCTTTTTATTTTGATAAATCAATTAATAAATTAAAATTCTTTTAATTATTTTTAATAAATAACATAAAAATATTAATAATTTTAATTATTTTTTAATATATATACATGTATAGATGTTTCATCCTCTACAAATAAAACATGAATGTATGAGAATAGAAGATGTTAACTCTGATGATAAAGTTAATGCTCCAAATAATTCCAAATATTCATTTATTGAAGAAGATTATAAATATAATGAATTATCACAATTTTGGAATCATGCACAGTTATCTAATGAAATACATTCAAAAAATCAAATCCATGGTCAATGCAGTTTATTTCAAACTGAAGTAGGTTTTATAATTTCAATAAATATTATAAATATTTAAAAATATATAATTTCATTTAAAATTATACATTATTTAATTTATTAATTTATTAAATTCAAATAATTGTAAATATAAAATCATACAATTTATGCAATATTTTATTAAGAAACTAATCATAAATATTAAATATTTTAGGAAAATAATTCATTAGCATATATGAAAAATTATGTACAAAATAATACAATTTTTCAAGTTAATCAGGAAGAAAGTTTGAATCAAATGAATCAAAGACATCATATAGATATGACTCAAAAAGCTGAACAATCACAATTTCCTCAAATCAATAATATACAATCAACAAAATTTGTAAATCAAATAACAATTTCTGAACCTATATCTCCTATAAAATCTAATCGTCCTGGAAGACCATCTAAAAATTCTTCAGAATTAAATATAGGAAAAAAACTTAAATGTCAATGTGAAATATGTTTTAAAGAATTTGGACATAAAAGTAACTTATTTATACATATGAGAACTCATAATGGAGAACGGCCTTATAAATGTAATCAATGTGGGAAATGTTTTACCCATAGTGGAAATTTAGCTATCCATATGAGGACACATTCTGGTGAAAGACCTTATGGTTGTCAAATATGTGGAAAAATGTTTAGTCATAGTGGAAACTTATCAACACATTTAAGAACTCATTCAGGTATAAAACCATATAAATGTACTGTATGTGGTAAAGAATTTAGACATAGTGGAAATTTATCAATTCATGAAAGAATACATTCTGGAATTAAACCATTTCAATGTAAAGTTTGTGGAAAAGACTTTTATCATAGTGGAAATTTAACAACTCATATGAAAAAACATATTATAAATATTAATACTAACATTAATCAATATGATAATGAAAAACAAGAAATGAGTGGTGCAGTAAATCTTAATACAACTAGAAATTCATTCAATAATTTACCATTAACTCAAACTACTGATATTAAAATAATGTCTAATATAAACAATATTGTTCCTATAAAAAATGAAAGTAATGATGAATAAACTAATAGTAAACTATTCTAACATAATTAAAATTTTGCCATCAACAAAAATTTTAATATACTGAGTAAATATATTAATGATAGTTCAACTTATAAATTTATTTTATAACTATAATTACTGTAAAAATGTATTATCAGAGTTTAAATTTTGTAATAATTATTATTAATATCATATCAATGATTATGAGTATATAAATATATATATTTTTTTATATGTAAGTTTTATATTATAAAAAATAAGACCTATTTAGATAATATATAATATGTAATCATGTTATAACTATATGAATATAATTAAAAATATGTGCAATTTTATATAATACATTAAGCATTTATATAAGTTTATTTATATATATAATAATTTTTTATTTTATTATTTATGTATATGTATAATGCTTATTCAAATATTAAATATTTAAAAAACTTTTATTATATATTCTATTTTAAAGAATGTAATATGAAAAAATATACTAAATATATACTTTTTTGTACAAAATTTATTTTTATTATTGTTATGTATAAAAAACATCGAAAGTATGCTGAAAAATTTTGTATAAATATTAATTATGTAATAATTCTGTGATATTTAAAATTTTTAAATTTGATATAAATATTTTATATTCATTTTCTTGACATATTCTCTACTTTTAAATAAAATATTAAATAAATTTCTATAAAAATATTGATTTATTAATAATGTATTTATTTATGTGATATACAGGAATTATTAAGTTTAATTACTAATTAAATTAAGTTATAATTAATATTTTTTATTTCAATTATTACATTGTTAATAAATAATATATATACCATAAAAAATTGCTTACTATTACATAAAGATCTCAAAAAAATTAAAAAAAAATGTTATTTAAGTAACATTAAAAATAATTTAAAATTTTCTTCTTATTAAATACAATACATTTCCATAATGTAACATATATATTTAATATAATAATATATATATTTATTACTATTACTAATATTTTTTGAGTTTAAATATAATAATTATTTTATAATTTTATATGTATATATATTTTATGTATATGTATTTGGAATATTTCTTTGT